GGAGGGAGGGACTGGGAGGGAGTGGGGGAACAGAAGACACTGTATGAATGGAAATGTACTCATAACCTGACTGTAATCCCTCTAACTGTAATCCCTCTGTATACCACCTTAATAATAACAAGTGAATTAATTAAAACAAATAAATAAATATTACAAAATGGGGGTCCTAGGGGATGCCACAACTCTTGTGATTCACACTTCGTATTTTGTCACTCCATGCTTAAGCGACATTCTGGGAACACAGGACTTGTAGTATGGATTCCTAGACGCCATTTTCTGTCCCCAGGGGGCTCTCTAGAAAACTGAAGAGCGGTGATGTCTTGAACACACACAGAAGTCAGCATGCCCCCAAACTGATCGTCATCTTCAACAACCTTCTCCTGTTCAGTGACCCTGACACAGTAAGTGGTACCTCCACCCACCATACTTCTCAGAGAGAAACCCAAATGTGGCTCTATATGTATTCTTTCTTCATCCTCTCTCTCACACACACACTGTAATCAAGTCTTGCTCATTCTGTCTCCTAAATATCTCTTGCTCTGTTCATAGACTTCAGCTCCGAATGTCACTGCTACTTAAGTCTCAACTGTCTTCCTTTCTCCTCAACATTATAATCAACCACCTGCTACTGGTGTCCTTGTGACCAGAATCAATAGGAACACTTAAAATTACATTTGATCTGACAGTAATGAGCCGTCTTCTTAATTCTAACACAAGTAAATCTTCTCTTATTACAGATAAATACATAGATGTTATAAATTTGAAAACAAAATTTTGCTCCATTCCAAGGTATTCCCATGGTACAGACAATGATTTTTCCTAAAATGCAATCCTCTGAGAATTTTTTTTATCCCATTGGGATAGCGTCCAGACTCCTTAACACACCTCTATGCACACACAGAGAATTTCACAGCTGACCCTTGCCCACCTAAACCTAACTCTAACCCTAACCTTCATTTCTCTACTCTGTGTCTCCCCACAAGAGGGTTCTTTTTTTTTTATTGTGAAAATACTGCACAAGAGGGTTCTTTTTAGGCTCCTGTCCAGGCTTTGTGGCATCTATTTTGTCCTTGGTTAGGATATATTTTTCTAGACAACTTTCCTGGAAACTTGTACCTCTCTGCTGTGAGATCTCAGAGCCTCTGTGCATCTCCTGTCTTATAGGACAGGCTTTAGTGTGTCTGCTAGAGTCATGAACACCAAGTGGCAGTGGCCACCAGTGCATAGGGAACCATGGGAGACAGTCTTCCTCGGAGCTGCCAGGAGCATCTGCTGACGCCATGACTTTATATTCTGGCCTCCACATTGTGAAAATAAATTGTTATAAGCTACTGAGTTTATGGTAATTTGTGATAGCGTTCTTGAGAGAATAATATAAATACCCTAGGTGATGTCTAATCACACAGGCTGGTACACACACACACACACACACACACACACACACACACATACACACACACAAGAATTTCCTTCCTTCTGAAAGTGTTTTCGGTCAGTAAATATCCATGGATCCTCACCCCACTCCACAGCCATAAATCTTTACTTTTTCAGAGTTCAGAGGGGAACTGCTCAATCTTTCCTACTGTAAGACCCATTGCAGAGACCCCTACATACCTATGCACTGGTCCTGAACATTTCTCCCTCACCAGCTTCAACAAGTGGCAGAGAATGAATTTTCTTGAACAACACACACACACACATATCAGACAGATATATACATATGGACTAAAACCGACCAACCAATTAGCGTTCCCACAATCAAACAATCCTCTTGCAGTTTTTCTGTTCTCTATGACTCATATCCACACACAGGAGATTTTCTACTTTATTACTTGAAGCTGTGTACAATCTATCATGTTGAATATCCTTATGTTGTCAAATTGTTACTTTGGGCTAAGGAAAGTTTCTCCTTTGTAAAAGTAATACAATATTCTGGGATTCAATTAAGAAGTGAGCGTGACACAAGGTAAGACATTAAATGAATTACAGAACAAAAGACACTAGAATAGCATCAGGTGTATGATGTCCTCACTCATTTCCCATGATATAAAGGTATCCATAGGTATCCTCTACCTTCTCTAATTCAGAAGCAGTGTCTTAAACCACCATCACGAACACAGAACATTATGATCAGCTGCCAGATGAAGCAAACTGGCTGTGGAGACCACAACACTTGCTAAGAATAGTTAGTAAGAAAAATATAGAGCCAGCAACTGGGCCTGTCACATGTTTGGATCCTTTCTCCCTGAAGAGCTAGAAATGAGTACTTTTCAGATTTCTTAGTGACTCATGAGTAATTTGACACCATTGTATCTGTATCTCTCAGAGGGACAAATCTTCCAACGTCTTTAAGAAGTCAGAACAATCGATCACAGAAGAAATCTCATGCTTTTCCCCTATGGCTTGGCCAAAGATGTTCAGCGAAGCCTTTAATTTGCAAGGAGGCATTGTGTTTATCACCCCGTCAGCCAGGGATTCATGCTGACACTTGACAATTATTTGAAGACGTGTTTGTGTTATTACAAAACACTTTGCATAGCAAAGTCAGAAAGGGCTCTTGTAAAATCTACTATTATTATAGCAGCAGCAGCATCTTCATCACTACTAATGGTAGTAACAGAATTTAAGCTGAGGGCCTCAAACTCACTAGGCTTGTGGGCTCACTTGGTGCTCTACCACTTGATCCATGCCTCTAGACCAGAGTTTTGCTAGTGATTCTGGATATGAAATCACACAGACTTTTTGCTTGGGCTGAACCTCAATCCTCTGAATATTGCAAGCTAGGATTACAGGTGTGAGCTACCAGTGCCTTGCTTTATTATACTCCCAGTTTCTTTCCTGTTCGTGTGGCTTATAACTGACCTTGAAGACACTATATTACTTTGAGATTTCTCCTCAATGAAACATACTATGGACATACAATACTTGCACATGATTTTGGTGGTAATTTGGTGATAATTTGCAGTGATAATTTGATACATGTATAGAAATGTATAATCACCAAATCCGGGTAATTAACATTTCCTTCTTAAACAGTAATCATTTCCTTATGCTGTGAAACTTCAAATACTTTCCTTTTAGTTCTTTATAAAATAGATAATAGACTGCTGGATGCTAGAGTCCCCTACAGTGCTACCCAACACTAGCATTTATTTCTTCTATGTAACTATTTTGGTTTCTATTTATCCAACAGTCTAGCCGCCCTTTTCTGTCTCTCTCAGTGGGGAATGTCCACTTGGCGTTTTGCTTACGTTTACACCACTCTGGGGATTTTAGGAATGCATGAATGACCTATATTACACCTAAGGCAATCCGTGCAGTGTTAGAGGAAGGAGGATACAGAGTCAGGGTGAAGGAACTCAGTCAGAGAGGCAACAATTTAGTGGGTCATGAAGTCATAAGGTCATTCCTCTCCAAGGAATTAACAAATGGCAGCAACTGAGTGGAGGGTTCCACCTAAAACAAAAAAGCCTAGAAAACATGGACTGGGGTGCAGGGATCTGTTCTGAGCACATTTCAAGATTTTCCCAACTTTATTATGCGTTTGTTTTTCTAGAGTGATTGTCATGAAGATGCTCAATTCTGTAGATGTTCAGGGAATAAAAAGGGGATCATCGATTTCCATGTTAAACGGGGTTGAGGCAAAGGGGGAAAAGCAGAGGAAGTGGTCATTCTGAGGGAAGGAAGCAGATTGAGCTTTTGAGGACATAGAGGAAGAAGGAAATCCAACTCTTGAAGAAGGCCTGGGCGGAGACTGAATACATAAACAGACACAGTGCTATTGACTGATTTGTGCCACATCCAACTTCATATGTTAAAATCCAAAGCACAGAGGGAAGGCATTTGGAGACAGGAGTTAGTCAGGGTTAAGAGGGTGATGTGATTAGTGCCCTTATCAGAAAAGACCCTAGACAGCATTCTCTAACACACACAAAGGAAGATTTCATAGCAGCAACTTGATTTCATAGCATTGATTTCATAGCAAGATTGCAGAAGTCTCAGAAAGAAACCTACTTTGTCGACACATTCTTCAGTCTCTACTACTGTAAGAAATACATTCTCTTAATTTAAGCCACAATTTGTGGTATTTTGTTATGGCAGCCCAGGAAGACTAAGAGAAAACTAAAAACTATCTGTAGAACTTCCCTATCATCTCATTGCAAACCAGCAGTATGCAATAACTCTTTGTCTTTTCCTGTAACATTTCCTTCCTCTGAACCCTTACTTCTCTAAAATCACCTATCTACTTCATCAGGGAAAATCTCCACAAATATGAACTTATGTAAAATACGAATTCTTACCCCTACTTCTGCAAATGATATAACTGAGGCAGAGAGTTAAATCAACTGAAAAAGCCATACACTAGCAAGTATCTTAGCTGGGATTTGAACCCAGGCAGCCTGACTCCAAATTGACAAATCTCAGCTGTGCTGACTTTCCTCATATTTCCTGGCTGGTCACTAAGCTGTGAACAGCATAGTTATCTTTATCATTCCAGAAATGACTAATTTCTATTCTTTGTTTTCCTGACTTGTCCAAGAATCATTTTTTCATGATTTTTCCTCCATGAAATAACCTATTCTTATCTGCCAACCACCATACATAACTCATTTTCTGCTGTGTGTTGACTTTTAGTGAAGCAGTGAAAATAAAACGAATAATAAGAAATGGATTGTCAATGCCAGAATGAAAGCATTCAATTATAGAAAAGGTAGAGTTCCAAGTCCAGATTATTTATAGATCAAATAGTAGGGGTAAGTTTTTAAATTAAAAGACTATAACCTCTCAAAAAATCCTCTCATGAGATACAAGGGAATACAAAGAACATAAAAGCCATTTCCAAGCAGATTGAGGAATTATTATTAAAGACAAGAGCAATTCTAAAGCTTGATTTTTTTTCCTATACTTTGGCCAGCTGGTGGTAATTTAATTCTCCAAATTAAGATATGAAGTTGAATTAAGCAAACACCCAATGAGAAATAAGGAAGCAGCCTTCTTACCTGCTGATGTGTGTTTGAACTTTTCGCTTTTCTTCTTCCTCCATTTCCAAGGCTTGAAAATCCTCCCCAGGTTGGCAAACTTACTTCTCCTCCGGATGGGTGGGGTGTGAGTGCCCGGGACCAGGGAGTCGGAACGCATCGCCGCCAGCCTCTCCACTTCCTCAGCTTGTTTTTTCCAAGAAAGAGATGGAAATAAAAGGGGGGGGGGAGAGAGAAGTGTTAAAATGGGAGCTTCACAGATGGCTAGCGTTTTCCATGGTTACAGATAACAGCAACCACGTGACTCGAGCTCCATTTGCCTTTTGGAATGGAAGTCATACTGATATGTTCCAAAGACTGGGGACAGTAAAACAAACCCTAGAGATTCAGAACATCCCAACTACATTTGTGTGCTTCTTTGTTTCTTAAAGAGACAAGGTCTCACACTGACACGTGCTCAAGTGATCCTCCTATCTTAGCCTCTGGAGTAATTTGGATTACAGATGTGCACCACCATGCCTACCTACTCTAACCAAATTTGCCCAACCTTCATTTAGATGGCATGAGATGGGCAAGAAGAAGACAGTGCTCTCTTGACATGTATCAAACTCCCCACGAGGCAGGGAAATGCCAACTGAAGATTCAAATAAAAAGTCAATGGGATTATTGGTCCAGTAATTCTCAACTTTGTGGAATCATTATGGCGCCGTCTAGTGAAGGAAAAGGAGAAGGAAAACATTTGCCCACCATCTATTCTCCAATATCTCCATTACCCAATTCCTACTGCTCAGATTTACCAAGATGCTCAGAAGCCTGCCATCTACCGAGGGTGGGACTCTAGAGTTACTACTAACAGACATTACAATTGCTCGCACTTTACTAGATTTTATGATTGCCTTAATTTTGCTGGATTTCTTTAACTCCTTGAGTTTTACTTTAAAGTATTCTTAGAAAACTGGCGGGGGTTAGGGAACAGCTAGACTAGTTTTGATAACTGAACATCTTGAGACTGCTATGGTTTGGGTTTGGAATATTCTCCAAAGACCGTGGGTTAAAAGCATGGTCTCCAGCTTGGTGTACTATTGGGAGGTGGTGGAACCCTAAAGAAGTGGAGCCTAATGGGAGGTCTCAAGTCATTGAGAGTGTGTTCTTGATTAAAATTGTGAGACCCTGATCACTTACGCTTTCTTTCTCCCTTTTTCTCCCCCATTGTGTGGTGTGTGTGTGTGCTTTGCCATATAATTAATACCCATCATAAAGTATTGCCTCACTCTAACAATGGGTCTAATTGGTCCTGGACAAAAACCTTCAAGATAAACCTTCCATTTTTTTAAAAGTTTATTTAGCTCAAGGTGTTTTGTTTGTTGATGAACACAAGGACATTAAGCTTTTCAAGTCTTCTTAAGGGAGGATGATGGACCTTCCTTGAATGCCACAATCTCACCAGCCTCTTTTTACTAGGTAGAACTAAAGAAACTGTTTTCTAAGTTACACAAGTATTTACATTGTCCAGTGAGCTAAATATACCACCATTTGAGTGTCTAAGACAAGAACATTCAGAGTAAATAACTTTCTCAGCAGAATGGAGGGGCTGACATAGAACTTAACTTTCCAGAACACAACACTGCATCTAACTCTGTGACAAACCCAAGCCACTGGATTTGTCTGGCCTGAATAACTATCCCTCCAAGGAAAGACATGTGCACTTGTACACCATATACAGTCCTGAAGAATAAGATCTTATGGACTGAGAGATTTTCTGTTGTAGTCTGAACATGATTATAACTTAGGAGGACTCCTTAACCTACAAATAAAGACAGGATTATGACTGGATGGCAGTCGGTACACTGTGGCAGTTATTCTGGTGACAGGTAATGAGAAGCTGGCAAAGGCTCTTGGCAACAAGATTAAAGGGAGGTCGATGGGCTTGGGAGGTGTGTAGAAAGCAAAGTCAATTCACGGATTCCTGATCGATTGAGTGACCTGAAGGACAGGAGGCAAAGCATTCCCAGTTCCAGCTCAGCAGAATGACACTCTTCTGTCATCAAGTTAAAAGATAGCAGGGTGGCACAGGCTGGAGAGTGAGTGCCACAACCATCTGGCTATTGCAATGAAGATGCATTGACCATAGATGCTCCTCCACTCCAAGATGGAGGGACAGAATGCTCCCAAGGTAAGCAGCTTTGCCCCACCCAGCACCCTCTCCATGACATCCTGCCTTCCTCAGGAGTCCTGAAAGTAACAAGTCTGCCAGATGATGGGCTGGAACTTTCAAAACTGTGAGCCTCAATTACACCTTTCTCCTTTATAGTTGATTACTTTAGATACTGGTTATAGTAACAGAATACTGACAGCCACATAAGCTAGTGACAATTGTGAGAAACCAGAGCCAGGGGGAAGAGAGAAGAAATGTCAACGTAAGACACAGCCATTTTGTCTTTCAGCCTCTTTCCCTGGCCCCCTGCTCCCACACCATTTCTTCCTTTAGTTTACAATGTTATTATGGCTGGCCCGGATTTCACAGGCCTCCAGGCCTATGCCCCCAAGCCCAGTCTCCTGCCTTTAATTCTCTCTTTTACTGTGCCACTGTCTTTCCTGAAGTCTGCTCAACCCAGAATTTTACAAAGCTTCCCATAGCTTGCAGTAGAAGCTTCAGATTCCCTGCCTTGATCTTCAGGGAACTGGACCTGTGTTGCCTGGCTTACATAGCTCTTCTAGTACTTCCCAAACACATGCTGCAGTGAAGTGAAAAGAGGTCTTGTCACCACAGCTCATTGGGGTGTCTGCCTCCCAGTAGCCTGTAGGCAGCCTTCTAGCCACTAAGACTATGCAAAACAATTTCCCTATGTTAGGTATCTGCATTTACTTGGAAGAGTTTCCATTTTCCTTTGGTCTCCAATATAACTTAGGATATACAAATTTAAAAATAATGAATTTGAATGCTCTTGAGGCCAGCCAACCTAAAATATCTGTTAAAGGTTAAGAAGGGATTAAGAGACAGACTCCTAGGAGGAAAAATGAAGATGAAAATTATTCAGGATTGATACTGAGTTTCTGTCTCCTGGCTCGGTACTCAGTAATGACTTATAAAATAAATGAGTTGATTATTTCAAATAAAGGAATGAATCACACACATTCATCTATGTCTTAACAGGGACAAAGTAAGTATTACTATCTGTCTTGAGAAAAATAAAAGTGTACCCATGGTTCCCGCTATTCAGGAGGCTGAGGGAAGAGGCTATATCAAACCTTATCTTTTAAAAATAGATTAAAAATTTCTGAAGTTGTTGCATTAAGATCATTATAATCAATTAGGAGAGCTTTGTTAAAACCTAGAGTGGCAAGGAGCAGAGAAAGCATTATAAAGGCATAATTATAACTCTAGTTAAATGAATCCTTAATAAGTGTATTATTAAATTCAAGATGGTTAGCCCATAAGTGCAGTAGATTATTGAGCAGACTAGATTACACTAGGCTTAATTGATTTATACTTTAATCACCCATATTGCATTTTTTCACCAGTTCATCTGATGGCAGAGGCTGGCTCTCAATCTGATGGCTCTGCTACCAGATAATGGAAGGCTGAAGGCTGAGGCCGGAGGCCAGCTTGTGAATAAAAATTGAAAAGGAAGAAAAAGCAAAGCAATGCAGGACTCGGAATCCAGTAGTCTCGCAGCGCAATAACGTGAGAAAGAATTGTGTTCTGAGAAGAAAGCTAAATAGAAGGGAAGGGGCATACGTTAGAGGCATTTTGGGGATGTTTTCATTGGACACAAAACACATGGAGACTGCTTTGAGCAAGCTTTCTGTTCTCAGTCCTACGGTGGCTTCCTTACAGCTTGCAAGAGAAGATGCTGTCTGGGAAAAATGCTCACTCAGACATGATTCAGCTTGAATGTCCACTACTAGGAAGGGCAGTGTGAAATCACGTGGTAGGAAGCTGGGAAGCTGAGCAGAGAAAAGTCTGGGCCAGGAGTGTCCCAGGGACTGTCTAGTCCTGACATCCAAGAGAATGTTCTTTATGAGACTAGACAGTGTGAGCTAGGTTGTTGTATCTGTACGGGGAAAATAGGGAATGCTTTTTCTTTTCCTCTTTAGAAATACCAGAAAGATAATAGTTGACTTGTAAATAATTTGAGTAATCATGGTCAAAGTACATGTTCTTGCTGGTACTCTGAACCCACCCTTCATGAAATTGCTTCTGGGGTGGGAGGGTCTGAGGCGCTTCAACTGGCACTCTTACCAGTTCTCAAAGTGACTTTGCGATCCAAAGACTTCTCTAAGGACAGAAGCAACTAGCTCCCCTTGGCCTAAGGAGTGTATGGTCTCCCACTGGGCCGCTAGAAAAGAAGGAAGCCATGTGCTTATGCTGCTGGGTGTCTGGCTGGAGCCAGCAATGGGAACACAAGGAACAGGCTATTTGGGGCTCCTTTGTAGCTAGTCCCATGTGCCAAATACTCCTAGGAATTTTGGAGAAGCTGAATCCAAAACTGTAGCAGGTTTTCAGATTTCCCCTCACAAGAGGGGACATTCTAAGTAGGCTAAGGCTTTCTTAGGCATTGTTATGGATGATAGCAACAATAATGCTGCTGTTAATGTTTGAGTCTTAAATAATCCCTCCAAGATGAAAGCTAGGCTTGTTCCTAGGTCTGTGGTGTTATTGGGAGGTAGTAGAACCTTTAAGAGGCAGGGGCCTAGTGGGAGAGAGCTAGGTTATTGTGGGTGTATCCTTAAGGGGGATATTAGGATCCCAGCTCCCTACTTTGTACCTCTCTGCTTCTTGGCTGCCATGAGGTGAACATATTCCCATGATGGGTTGTGGCTTTGCCACAGACCAAAAGCATCAAGGTTCAGAGACTATGGACAAAAATAGACCCCACCTCCTTTCAAGTTGACTTATCTCGTGTCTGTCACAGCCATGGGAAGCTGACTTAAACAATGACAGCAATAATGGTAATGAAGCTGATGATGACAGTAAGAGTATGAACAACAGCCACCACTTTTCAGACGCCCTGTCTGTACCAGACACTGACCTAAGCATTTACAATACATTACCTTAGGCAACCTTCAGGTTTCTCTATGAGATAGTGTCATATACTGTCCCATTTTATACTTGGGGAAATTGAGGCAGAGCTAATAAATAGAAAAAAAGTAACTTCTCAGAAGAAAAGGAACACATGCTTTTT